CCATGAGGAAAAAAACAGATAAAGTATAGAAAAGTTATCTTGAGTCACCTTAGATCTATCTACCTATCACCAAATTCTTGTTAGTGAAATAATGGACTGACTTAGCTTTTTCTGAGATAGGATCTTGCTTTGTTGCCCAGACTGAAATGCAGTGGCAGTATCATACCTCACTGCAACCTAGAACTTCACTGGGATCACTTAAATGATCATCCTGCCTTAGCCTTCCGATTAGCTGGGACTATAGGTATGTGCCACCATGCCTGGCCCCAACTGTCCCTATTGTTTTCTCTCCTTTTAGTTGTGCATTCCAATAATTGTGACCAAATTCATTCTAACTGCTGCAGCAAGGAGGAAATTAACAATTGTGATTTTCTATTGCATGTGGCTCCAAGCCTCCTAGAAGCTGAGGCAAAAAATTAAACCAGATGAATTGCAAAGCGCTCTTTCATTCTTACTCAGGAAAAGATCTCAGTGAGTTTCTGCTTTTCTTTTGCCCCTAAATTCTTTGTTTACCATTAAATTTCCACATGAGAGTTTATGAAAGGAACATGGGGAAACATAATTGCTAGAGCCATCATAACTGTTTTGCAGGAAAGGCAGTTTTCACTAGACTCTTTCTTAAAATAAGTAGGATCTAGGCTTAAAGGTAGAGTCTAATCAGGGGAGCGGATCCTTTGGTGGGAGCTTCTTCATGCCCTCTCCACCCCAGATGTTCACATATCCCCCTGGAGGGAGCACAGCTCAACATGAATGAGCACATACTAAATAGACTACTGAAAGACATTGTTAGCAGAGTGGAAGACAGAGCTCAGAGAAGGATATGGAGCTGGGAGTTCTGGGGGAGGGAAAGACCCCTGACCCATCACTGCTAAAGGCGGTAGTGAGGGTGTGATTTATGAGTGAGTGAGAGATGTGAGAAAGAGGACTTGGTTATTTGTAGAAACCCTGGGCCTGGGTAAAGGCTTCCTTGGGGTGATGTGAGGGAGCTGCTAGGAAGAAAGTAGGGCAGCGGTCTATTCTTTCCTGGTGCCTTCCTTATCTCAGGCCCACTTGCTTATGTGACCTGTGTCAGGGGCTCCTATTCCAAGGGACTGGATTGTGTTTATCTGGGCTCAAGAAACTCTGTCAGCTCTAAGGAACCTTGTCACTGTATGTCCCAGCAGGTACCTCACCTCTGCTCACTGTGCAGCCCAAAGCATGAGAGAAATGTAGTATCTGCAAAGTCAAATTAGCTGATTACTTGATTACTTTAGGAAGAGCCTTTGCCTTGCCAAGAATTCACAACAGATTTTCATGGAAAAAGAAATACTATACTTGCTGTACCTTTTCTGTAGGATGTTAGTAGATGCCAGAAGGGGGAGAAAAGGCAAATACATGTAGGAGAATTCAACAGGTATCTTTACTGCAGTATGTCTTGAAGATATTAATACCACACATCATCCAATCTAAGACATTCCCTGGATTGGAAGATGCATCATTATTATTACTTGGAAGTGGGGAGACAGAGTCTCACTCTATTGCCCTGGGTAGAGGGATCCTCTTGCCTCAGACTCCCAAGTAGCTGGGACTACAGACACCTGTCAGAATGCCTGGCTAGTTTTTCTATTTTTAGTAGAGACAACGTTTTGTTCTTGCTTGGAGTGGTCTCAAATTCCTGAGCTCAAGCCTACCACCTCAGCTTTCCAGAGCACTAGGATTACAGATGCGAGCCAGAGGCATCATTATTTTATACATTACTGAGAAAGAAAAAGTGTGCTTTTACTCACAGGAGACTCCTCCATAAGGCTACCCTTTCATTGTACAGAAGAAAAGAAAAAGGAACACACCACACAGAGAGAAACAGCAAGAAGCCCTCTGGTCTCTACCTTGACCCTGGTGAATGAAGGGAACATAGGAAGAAATGCCCTGCAGTCACCATGAGAACCACCATCTGGCTCTCACTCTGAGGTCACAGGAGCTAGTGCCCCCAGATCACTGACAGAAGCAAACACAAACTCTCTCTGGAAGACCTCAGTTTCAGTTTAGGCTGGTGGTGATTGCAAAACGCCAATTATGAGATGTTTTCTAATTTTAGCATGTCCTCATGGATGAGGATAGTACATTTATACGCCTGTGAGCCCCTCAGAGGAACAGAGTATTTTGCCCTACCTACCCCATCCCACTGGGGAGCTTTTGGTGCCCAGTGGCAATAGCGGTCACCATTGCTGCCATTTATGGAGCACTTACTTAGTGCCAGGGCTGAGTGAGATGCTCAACACACATCAACTCCTGTCGTCCTCACAGCACCTCTGCCTGGGAACAGTGGTGTCACTGTCATTTTCAGCAGAGAAACTGAAGCAACTCGGGTTGCACACGAGTAAGTGACAAAACTGTGCTTTGAGTCCATGCGCATCCCCAGTATCCCGAAGGTGGTTTCCCTTAGTCCTTCTTTGAGGAATGCCATGCTGGCTCATTGAACCTAGCATATTGCCCCAAATGCAATTTTCCAATAAAGTGTCTACTGCCTAAATGGAGGTGATTACTTTATCAACTTCTGTCTTGATACATCCAAGAAGGCTGTGCAAAGCCTTTTGCTGTCTAGTGGTCTTGGGTACATGGCTCAGCTCCTGGGCCCCAGCTGAGCAGTCCTATCATTGCTATAAGGGATCAGCTGTGGGTACAAGAACACGTAATCAAGAATATCTTCTCATAATTCAAGAATATCTATTTCTGGTTTGGGAAGATGTTAGTATAAATATTGCATCTCTGTATGAGCATCTCCTAAAGCTTCCAAAATATAATCAGGCTCCAATCACCTTTGTGGTCCATGACCTATCCCTCCCCAGGCTCACTGACTTCCCCTGACAGAGCTGTGTGGACCTCAAGGGCCATCTGGAGTAACAACTGGTGTGAAGTAACAACCCCTCCCTGCAGGAGGGCAAGTCAAATTTTGTTGTGATCCTATCCCAACACTAAGGGCTGGTGGTCTTGTGATTGAGCTAATCCCGTCACTGTGTAAATCAATAGGAAACCCACAGGAGGTTTCCATTTAGGATGTTCATTTTGTGAAGCTGATCTTCCTATGACGTTGGAGCCAAGCTATTGCCCTCACATTGCCATGATGAATGGAAAGTTTAGCTTAAGGTGACCAGAATTATTGATAAAAAATTCAGATCCCTCCAAATAAAAATTCAGATTATGGAGAAACCTTTATCTCTGCCTGTTTTAATCACCACCTTTGTGGGGGTTCCCTCTTGGGAGGCCCGAGCCAGTTTCTAATCACTTGGATTATGTGTAGTGCACCTTATCTTAAAGTAGGCCACACACTTGAGGAAGTACAACACAGGATAAGTCCAAGAGACAGTCTGACCAACAAAGGCCAGAAAGGTGACCCATGTTGCCCAGAAACATTGCTGGCAAATGACAGAGCAATGTTTCTCAACCAGCCCCCAAGTCAGTCCACTGCCCCTGCTCTAACTAGGCAGCTGGGGTCACCTTGGGCTGTGACTGGCTGAGGGTTCTGGGTACTGTTCCTGCCCAATAGGTGTGATGGGTTTTCCTCTAGGGCTACTCAGATTGTGTGAGGGCCTCATGCCTCTCCATGGGCCAGGGACTGGCATCCAGTCCATCAGTAGGAGGGACACAGGTGCCTGTATTCTGCAGTTTGGGGCAAGTCTAGAGTGACTGCCCACGGAGCTGACCACGCATGGGTCCTTGCTTGGCCAAGGGAGAGCAGGGGAGAAGTTGCATATAGTGCAGAAAACAGAACTGTGTGGGCCATACATCCCCAGGTTCGAAGAGATGTCAGAAGCCCTTGTGAACATCGACTTTGCTTATCCTGGTTGGGCCTCCCTCCACACCTCTTGTTCCTTCTCCCACCTCCATTAGGGGTGACTCAGCCTGCAGAAAGGATGAATCATGTGGGTTATGAAACTTAAGGGCTCCTGAGAGGGAGGCTGGAAAGGACCTCAGAAAGCTATCCATGTGGATCCTTCCCTCTCTTCATCCTCCCAAGCCTCTAACCTCCATCTGCCAAGCCACAGACTCAGGCAGGTAACTCCTGCACAGCTTTCTAAACAAGAGACAACTGGAAACCAAGCATCAGATGAGCAGTTTCTCTCCCACTTGAAGGATTTTCAGCCTTTTATTTTTATTTTTTATTACTTCAGATTAATATGAGGGTACATATGATTAAGTTACATTGTGTTTGTTAGGAAAAGTCCCAAGTTGTATTTGAGTTGTACACTCAGGTATATGTACATCATGGAATACTACTCAGCCTTTCAACCTTTTGTTTGTTCATTTTTCCCTCAGGAATTCATCAGGTTGATAGCTTGCTTTCTGCATAGGATTAGGTGGGACCAACCGGGAAGGATGAGAGAAGAGACCTTGCAGCCATCCTCACTCTTTGTAATTCCTTGGTCATGGAGTGAATATTTTCGTAAATCTTAGGGGTGCTCCAAACAATTGCCTACTGGATACCAGGCTGCAGGATGTTTCAAATCACTTTTCCACTAACTGATCCCTGTTCAGTGGGTACTTTTAAGAGAATACAAGATTTAGTGAACACCTACCACAAGGCAGGCCCTGAGCTTATAAAAACAAACGTTTGTGGACAGTTTACTGCACGGCAGGAGCTGACCTTGCAGGATGGATATTATTGTTACCCTCTTTTTTTCAAGGCGAGCCCCTGCTCTCAACAAGGAGAGTAACTTGCTCCAGATCACACACATGCTGAGAGCACAGGCTGCCTCCTGAGACGGTCTGTGACCTCTGCCATGTACTCTGGTTTCTCTAGTACCCACTTGTTGCACTCAGCTAATCTGCCACATGCCTTTGTCCTTTCAATCTGGCCTAGTCCTGGGACACCCAGTGCTTTCCCGGAAGCTTTGTGCTCCTAGAACCCTTAACACTTGCAACACTGTCTCATGCTCAGGTGGGCAAGGCCACCTGTCCTCTAGAACCCACCAGGTGAGTGAAGCCTCCAGGTGCCCGACCAGTCTGGGGAATAGGGGACTCACCTGAGATGCCCGAGGGCCCTGCCCGCTCCTAGAAGAACACACTGGGTGAAGGCCGCCACTTGGGGCCCTCCTGTGTCCGGAAAGCCTCAAAAGTCTGCGGAGAAGTTTCCCCAGTCGGGGGCGTTTCGGGATTCCCCTGAGGCCGCCCGCGCCTCCTGGGCCCGGCGCCGGGTCGCTGGAGCGCGGGCCCAGGAACGCCACCGGGCCGCGGGGGCGGGA